TTGTGTTTAAATATATAAAGGATGGAACTGGCCAAAGCAGCTTTGGAGCAATCTTGGGAGCAGAAAAATCTGCAGTTTGGAGCAGGCTGCAAGCAGAGAAGATGAAGTCTTGGAGGAAGTTGGGAGCAGCATACGAGTTTTAAGAATGTCAATATAGAGGCTAAATGTCACCTAGTTTTCAAAACTAAAGAAAATATGGCATGCAGATAACTCCATATGAATTGAACGGTAGCTCAAAAACTTTCTAGTTGCAAATGTTTTTCACAAAATTACGTGGAAACTACACAAAACAACTGAAACAGAACTACACATGACAGTGTGACACGTGATAAAACCGACATGGAAAGAGGTACATTTAACAGACACAAATAGCTTTCATTGCTGAGCATTGACTAGCAAGGTGTACCGAAAAATAAAAATGCAGGTACAAAAATGGTCTTTCATTTTTCAGTGGCTAGAATAAGATAATAAATGTCCATGCACATAAAAATCTACTGGGACTTCATCAATTGCTCACGGATACACTTCACTTTTTTCAAATTCTGAGCCAATTTCGCATTAACCTCCGCTAACAGCACTTGTCCAGGCTCAATCTCCTCCATCTCCTTTTTTACTGAGACCCGACTCAATCAATGACTCCGCATGCTCAAGCATAGTCCGCGAAAAGATGATGCGCTGCTCAAGTTGTCGCTCTTCTTCCTGAAGACGAGCTCTCTTTGTACTTGCTTCCCTCGCATTACTGCTCTTCCCCTTCTGCCTCTCATTGTCTTGCTTTTCGACCACTAGCCTTTCTGTGTAAACTTTATGAGGCTTAACAGCTTGCAGCAAGTCTGCTGTCAAAGTCACTTCCTGACATCACTGCCAAATCGCTTCAAAGCGCAATCGGTGCAATCACGATCTGGCAGCTCATATCTTACTCCGCCCTACACCTCACTGCTCGCTTGCCTTTGTTCCCAAGGTTTCTGCATGGGTGTGTGGCACACGTTTGTTCCACTATTCAGATCTTCAGGTGAAGTGACTACAGGACTCAAAAAAGCACGGTGAGCATGCAGCAACGGTGGCTAACGTTGACAGCAGCAACCTTTAGATACAGATTTTCGGATTCAAATTCACTGGTGTCCAATTTGGGCCAGAAGTTCCGGTGTCAATGTTGCCAACAGAAACTGTGAGACGACTAATTTCGATGGGGCTCGTTTATAATTTCAGTTTGGGTGCACCTTGGCACAATTTCATTCTTATTTATACTTTTGTATCAGTGTGGCGCGCGAAAAGTAATTGGGCACATAGCGGCACAATTGGTGCAGAAGTGCAATCCCTGATGTATACACTCTTTTTTCGACATTAGCTCATTAATCGCATCTGTGCACTATCATATACCTGAAAGAAATGTTTGAAATCACGTCACTTTCTACGTTGACCTCACAACTTACTGCCACCATCAGGGCGCATTCATAACTATTTAAACCATCTAGACTAAGCCGATATAGACATCTCCAGTCCAGATTTTCGCCGATTTAAAATGTGCTGGTGCCATGAATGTGGTTGATGTATACATGTAGTGACTGCTGAGTATTTTGTTCTATTTTGTTGTTTGCATTTCTTACCTTTCTTATTCTTTATTTATTTGTATTCTTGTTTTACTACAAACAAGTGCGGCTTCGGCTGTTACTGGACACAATAAATAGAAGTATTATTATTATTATTGTGAATATAGTTTGAAATGCCTTTTACTACTGTTGGTGCTGAAATCTAGCATGCCAGAAGATCTGCGGGACAAAACTGAATAAGCTTGTGTTGGTGCATCTGGGGTTTAGGATGCAATTCAGGCATTTATAACCCGAGGAATCGTGACTGTTCTCATAAAACACGAGCATAAATATACATCAAAGCAAAAAAGAGACAAATACTTGATGGTGAAACGGCGCCGATGTCAGTAGTTTGCTCAAGCAATAAGGGCAGCTGACCTCACCCAGCCGCTTGACCGCTCATTCAAGTGGCACAACAAACTGGCGAAATATTTGAAGGATATGGGGGAAAACATTGTCTTGCCGACGCCACGCAACTGGAAGGCACTCACCTTTTTTTTGTGATTGCCAATCCTTGTTTTCCCTCTTCTATAATTTTTTGCATGAAATTTTGTTGGCAAGAAAAAGCTTGCTCAACTAACGATTCAGCAGAGCCATGTGCACAAATAATCAACAACGGTGCAATTTACCCATAACATTACCAGATATAATAATGCACCGCTTAAAACAACCAGTTTCTTGAGGACCATGCATTTTTGTATGGAGTATCAAGTTCAGATACAACGATAACCGGTTATAACGATTGCATTTTCAGGTTTCGGCATTATCGTTATAAGTGGATCACACCATATTAGCTTCCAGATCGCAGAATCATGCACATCTGTAATTTAGATTCATCTGCGTCTGCACTGGGATGCAGGCAGGCAAGCCAGAAAACATGCTGCTTCATGCGTGGCGGTTTCACAAGTCAGATTTATGACACTAGACCATGCATCAGTGGATCACTGCTTAACCATTACACTGTTTTTAATGCAATAGCATTAATAGGGCCATTGACCATGAGTTTGTGTTTTTGCCCATCGTGGCTGGAGAGCTAAACTTACCAGGAAATCCTCAATTGATGCATAATTAAACATCACTTCAATTTAGGAAGGACTGGTGCGAAAACGGCGACGGGCTGAGGCAGACCGAGGTTGCAAAGCTCGGCAAACATATCACGTCTGAAGAGGTGCAAAAGATCCTAAATGGTGCCACATTACGTCTCCTTTGGCCAAAAGGCACAGTGAGCGATACGAGAGGCCTACGAGGATACCCATGCCGGCAGTAACCGCCGTGAGTGGGCACTCAGTGATGTGATTGGCCTAAGCCATTTTGAAGCACCTTTTGGAGCAGCCAAAACAGTGTTTTGGAGCAGCAAATGTGGCCTCTGGAGCACCCAAAACAGTGTTTTGGAGCAGCAAAGCTGACTTTTAGAGCAGCCAAAACAGTATTTCGGAACAGCAAAAGGGACTTTTGGAGCAGAAATTTTTAGAAAAATAAAAATATTTGTTTCAAGTGCTGAACGAACGAAGGGCACTTTGTTTTGTGTTATGACGGAACTCGCTGGTTGTGTTTTTACTGCTGAGACATCCCAGAAGTGTACAGTGCTGATAGGCGTTGCCGAGCAATTCCGAACACCCGCTTGCCATCGTCTTACTGGTTCCTGACGTGCCAGATTTTCGTCAGAAGAAAGCAAACGTAAAACAATGGACTGCAAGCGCCCCACCTGGTGCCTCTGTCGTGCAATCCTGTTCGCATGCACGTGAGAGCAACTTTGGCAGACTTGCAGTTGCACGTGCTTCGTCGTACAAGTGTAGACAACGGCTGTTCGATCGAAAACGAAACTATGCCACTCCGTTTCGTCGCCAACTGGTTCCCAAAATTTTATGCCAAATGTAACTGTCCAGCATAAGACAAAAACAGTCAAGTGGCACGTGCTTGCCAGGCTGGCAGGCGAGGTACAATCTAAACACACAGAAAAAAAGAACCTGAGCGCATCGATGCAAGATATCACGAGCCAGAATCAAAAAGTTCTTGGAGCGCTTTGTACGACTGAACTCTAAAGAAATAAGCGCCCTATGCGGGTTCAGCGTGCAGACATTGCCTTCTTTGGTTTAGCTCACTTTTCTTCACCAACTTTCTTTCACGGCAGATTTTTCATGTATTCCCTCTCAAAAGAAAGCCCACTGAGAGAAACCTAGGTAATCAATACTTCAACACAAGCGTCTTTAGTTAAAAAGGGATTTTTGTAATAGCGTATGATTTAAACAATCATAGGAATGTTGAACACGCGGCGGTACTTGCGTTAGTTTAGAAAGCGCCTTATCTACAGCGACGTCTGGCAGCTCGGCAGCTACGCCCGACGTCGCGCAACCACAGTGACTGGCGGGCAGGGACCAAATATGGTTTTCCCACTGCCGTTGCTTTCAGGAGCGAATGCTTCAGCTCATAAAGTAACTCCCGCCGTGCAATAACGTGGTTTCGTTTCACAGGATGACGTCATTGCTTGTACCTGGCGCGTCGAAGAGTCCGCACACACCCGCATTTATCGTTAAAAAAGTATTAAAAAAGGCGCGAGACGAGATTTACGAGACGACGAGAGCACGAAAAGCGAGACGGAGTTAAAGCAATACCAGATGGACGATTGATGCAGGGTACTGTGTGTTGGGCGGCAGCTTGCGTCACCTAGCTCACGCATGCTCAATTACGGTGCTCCGTTCAGTTTCGGTTTTGAAAGGCGACCGAAATTGGTGTTTTGGCGCAGGCTTGGCGCAGATTACCCCTATTTGGGCAAAATGTAGCAGGATGTAGCAGGGTTAGCCCCTTGGCGCAGTTTGGCGCAATCGGCACAGCAATCACATCACAAAGTACTAGATCACCATTTCAGCAGCCTGAAGCAGTTTATGGAACTGTCCCGTAACTCAATGTTCTCCTCAACGAAGAATCCAGCGTTTCCTGAAATCCTGGCGAGTGCAAACATTCCAGATCCCGTCGGCACCGCCGAGATACGGTGACCTAAGACAATCTCCCGAAACGTCGCTTTTATGCCCGTTGTGGCCAGGGGCGGATGCAGGAATTTCTTGAGGGGGGGGTCAGGTGTTGGTCAGCGCACCATAAGTTTAGGAACCCCCTCCCCCTCTCCTTCGTTTTACACCCCAAATTTTACACATGTAGAAATCAAGAGGGGGGTCAGGACATCCGGACCCCCCCTCTAAATCCGCCCCTGGTTGTGGCTCATCTTTTGAACCCCCAGTTGGTACGAGAAAGCTTCTCCCCACAGCCTTCCCATTGGCGCTTTTTCTTTCCGCGGGTTTTCTACCGAGAGATTTTGAAACCAAGTCTCCGACGGGATTCACCCGTTCTTCCGAAAGAGGCGGACCGCGTCAAAACATTGGAACCTGCGCCAGCTTCCGAGCCGGCGGGTGTCCCACCCACCTGGTACACCACCTTCTGGGGCTCGATGTAGCGCCTCACTTCGAAGAGCCAGTCCACTAGGTGCTCGAAGGTCCTCCTCTTGGTGATGTCGTACAGCAGCAGGGCTCCCACCGAGTTACGGTAGTATGACCGCGTGATGGACCTGCACGGGAGGGCAGAGTGCCGTCACGGTAACAGCACATGTAACCCGGTAGCTCGTGGCACGGTTACGAAGCAAGAACACAAAATGGGGAAGTGCCGAGATTTAGCTACGATAAAATGCGGAAGGATAATGCTGCGTCTGTGGTGAGTTGGCAGCGTGTACGGCTCCCACGGAAATGAGCTGGGTATGAAAGTTGCTAGTTTAGATTTTTAATTTTAATGCAGAACGTGTTTAAGGGGTGGGATCCCCTATTAAAGTGTGATAGAATGCCACGGAAACTGTTACGAAATGCGCAACCCACTTCAGAGGAGAATGTTTACCAGAGAGTGGTAAATCGAGAAGAAAGAACAAAAGTCTAAATGTGCCCCAACGGAAGTCGAACCTACGACCCCACGATTGTGAGCTTGACATTCTAGCACTCCGCCAATTAGTGGGTATAAGTAAAATTATCTGGCTTTGTCTCTACCACGTAGGTCTCTACTGACTGTTAAAAGGCAAATGCAGGACACCGGCGCTTGGCGTTCACATTCAAACAGTGTATGGGAAAAACAAGGAAATAAGACGTGCCCACCATCGCATAAAAGAGGACAAAGTGAAGAATAAAATAAGCCAAAGAAAAGAAAATAAAGCTGCAATGTTTACCACAAAGCCCAAAGAATTCCACGGAAACACATTCCATCTACACTGACTTTATCGTAGGACTGCAATAAATTAAGTATTATTATAGAATGCAAACAGCAAACTAAAACAGTATCAGGGTAGCACTGTGAAGACTGGAGAATTCCAGCGAATTATTGTTAGTAACTATGTATCTTTTTTAAACCTCCCAAGCCTAACAGAACATGTATAAAAGTAGCAGGAGCGAGCTGCATCAGGCCAGTGTTATGCTAGCAACGCCCATGATTGCACTTCCATTTAGGCCCAACTTTGCCATTTGAACCTTTCCTTCCAGCAGACGGACCTGTCTCGTTGCATGTCATTTGTCAAAAAGTAAAGTTGCGCGTGTGAAAACAAAGCAGCGTTGCTGTGACAGCACACTTCTGAGGACAGAAACGGCGATAAAGCATCAACCGTCCACACTGCATTGCACAATTTGATCTGGTGGATGCTTGCCGATTAGAGAAATGCAGAGTAAACAGCTGCGAGAGTAGCCGCAAATATTCATCCATCTTTCCAACACCATGTACTTGTTTCTACGACTTTGAGTAGCGAGAGGTAGATTTGGAAGCTGGCGCCACTGCCTTTTTGAGGGCGATGCATTTGTGTCAAGAGTGTCAGCAAACTGTTGCTGTCCCACAGTACTGTATCTTTCGAGTGAAGTTGACAATACTACAAGTTGTCAGAATGAAGTGTGCAACCTGTGGGGAGGTGCCATCTTCAGCAAAACTTATATTGCCACACAGGCAGTGTCACGTTAGGCAAGTTATTTCAGTCCTCAGGACCATGAACAAACATGATTCCTTTTGTATATACTTTCTTAATTTTGGAGCCAAGCAGAGAGGGTCTGGTCTTTGAGGCACAAGCAGTGTGTCATGTTCCTTTAAATAATTGTCTTCCATTGGCTTTCAGATCTGTATCATTAATTAACTCATGCTGGACAAATATGTCTCATTCAACAAATATTCACAGCTCAGGCATACAACTTTGACCGGACTCCCATTGGCCAACACACTGCACGGTGAACTGCAAAACAAATCTATGCGTGTCTGGTGTTGCACTTGCTTCTGTTCAGCAGCCAGCTACGACCAAGCAGCTTATGGTTTTCCCAGACTGTACAGTGCCTCCTAACCAGTCGCATTTTAGCAGAAATCGAAGTCTACACGCTGCAAACACCTACAGCAGCAAACTGGTTAAGAATGCAATAAAAGCTCCACCTCCAGCATGCACCCTTCGCCCTCTGTGGTGTATTCGCTGCACATACCTTTAGTACACCGAAGTGTTATCCTAGGCAGAAAGCTTGTGCCGGTGGTGAAGCTTCCAGTGCATTCTTAACCTGTCACCAACTAGACTCCGCGATTCAGCTGAACACCTTCAAAGACCCAAAAGGGACAGCTGCACCAAGGCGCTCGTCCAAGGAATTATTGCAATCTTAATACCATCGTGATGCAATCTGCCTTGACAAGACTGAACCAAGAACCGAAAACAGTAAGCCTGATTGATAATCACACGTTTAAAGCGTAAGCACGGTTTGAATATGTACACGAGAGCTTTCCAATCACGAGATAGGCAGCTAATAGGAATTGATCTTAAGCGTTCAAACAAGCCGGGGGAAACAACTCCGCCAGGAGCGTCCAATAAATCACACGGACAGAGGCATGTACTGGAGATCACGTTGCACCGCAGGAAGCCTCGTAAATGGATAGTGACACGGGATATTTACGCAGGATACGGCAAGCCGCAGGAGGCGCGTTCTCCCGTGGAGGAATCCCAGAAAGAAATATGTAAGGAGGGCAGCTGCACATCGAGTAATGTTACAGCTCTCATTCCAGAAATCGGGCCTGTTTCCCAACGGATTAACGGCGGAGGCAAAGCGGTTACCGAAATCTCTCCTGTCCCGCGGTGTCCCAGAGCTGTAGCTTGACCCTGACATCTTTCTTCACTTCGATCAGACGAGCGAAGAAGTCGACGCCGACAGTTGGGTCGCAGATGTCGTGAAACTTGCCGTCGGTGAACGACTTGAGCAGCGTGCTCTTGCCCACGGTGCTGTCTCCGATCAGGATCAGGCGGAACTGGTAATCAAAGATCGGTTCCACCATCGCGCTCCATTGAACTGTCGGACGTAGGACGGGACGATTCACGACGCCAGAAACGCCGACGATGCGATAAAACGCAAACACACAGCCATATCGCAATCAATCCCGAACGTCCCAAACAATCCCCACCACACAGATGGCTTTGCGGCTTTGTGTAGCAGCCCAAATCCGGATGGCTCCGGATTCCGGAAATGCCGGATAGAAACTGACCCTAACATTATAGTCGTAAAGCCGCCGCCGTCGAACCGTCGAAGCGCGACCGGGGACGGCGCAGCGGTCGTTTTGGTCGGCAGCGGTGGCGGCGGCGGCGCGGGGTTGTGTCTGATCAGTGGCGGCGGCTTCGGCGGCGGCGTGCGGCCATTCTGCGTCGGCAACGTCCGATTGGCGCGAAACTCAAAAACCAAGTTGCCTTTGAGACATAGCGTTGAAGTTAAGATGTCGAAAAAAAAGAGTTAATGCGCTTTCATCGCTTTTGTTTTAAGCTTAAAACTATATGGGAAGGAAAGAAACTAGAAACTGATAATGTAGTGATTGCGCAGGCGAGCTGGTGGATGTTAACCATTTTGTTCTTAGCCCGAGACTGAGGCAGGAAAAGAGGAAAGTTTCGAAGTAGAAGAAAAATGAACAGTCGAAGTAGAAGAAAAATGAACAGTAATAGAGACGTGTCCTCGACTGTTCATTTTTCTTCTACTTCGAAACTTTCCTCTTTTCCTGCCTCAGTCTCGGGCTAAGAACAAAATAGAAACTGATATGGCCACAATTATGACTTTGTGATTCGTTTCTATATTTACCATGTGATATTGGTTAGGCCGATTGGCAGTGGCGTACCAACTTGTTTTTTTGTGTGTGTGTGTGGGGGGGGGGGGGGGGGGGGAAACCAGACCCCCCCGCCCCCAGGGCCGGGGGCGGTGCCCTTGTAATCCCTTGGGCGCCGCCGGCCAGTGTTTGCCCTGACCAGTGGCAGCACCTCCTAGAAGACAAGGCCGTAGCGCTCCTCTCGTGACGTCGCAAAGGAAGGCCATCGGGGGCGCGCGTCGAAGCGAAGGCAACGCGCGTGGATCGACCGTCGTAACGCGTTTTTAGTCACATACGCGTGTCATATTAGCTAAAATGAAAGCTGCACATAGCAACGGGTATAGAAAACATTTTATTACACGAGCAAAATATTACACCGCTAAATAATCGGTACGAAATGGCACGAGGTATGCGTATAAGAAGTCTATAAAAAAATGTGATTGTTTCAAGTTGAAAACATTGAGTCATGCAATTATTGTTGTAGGAATGCATATTTTATACAGAAATACTTCGACATAATGGCGAGACACGCAGTGATTTGGAAACAGCAAAACAGAACAGTTAAAAATCAGGTAGACGTAGTCAACGCGGACAAGGCAAGACAAGTGTTTCTCACGATCATGTAAGCGACGTTATCGCGTGCAGTCACTGAATTCTTGCATCATACCCCGGCCACATGGCAAAATTAATGTAATTTCGATCGAATGACATTATGGGGTCGACAAATCCGCTTGCGGCGCTCGTATAATCACTCAAGACCGCGAGCTGATTAAATCCTATATCACTGAATGAAAATATATTAACTTTTCCGTGTGGCAGGGGTACTAAACGTACTACTTAGTCTACTAATTGACCTCTCCCTATGGACTCGAGCTGTCTTAGAACAAAACATAACTTATTTTGTATATAATAATACTATTACCTTAATAGTTAAGATTCTAGTATAAACGCGGTAAAGGCAATACAATAACCACAAACAACGCACTTTTAATAATCACACAAACTTGTTTTTCACCTTCCAGCGAAAACTAGATTACCGCGCATATTTACAAATGTCGTCGCAACTGCATACGAATAACGACGAAGAACAAAATTGCAATCTATCATGCGATTAAAAAAAACGATTGCAGCATTTTACTTGCGTCCTACATGACCAAGAAAGCCCGTAAATAAGTTGTTTCTCACCTATCAATCGTATCCATACGTCCCACAATATCCGTGACGAACACATTTGAACACGAACTCCAAGAAGCCTCTCTCTGTCGAGAGGTCTATCGACTAATCGACCAGTTTTCGTTGGCTAGTTGTCACACGTCACTCAAACCGTAGCAGGACTTGTTTCACGAATCCACGTAAATGCCGTAGTATCAAGCGAACACACACACAAAAAAAAACTACCCGAGACTACGGTGATGACAGAAATACGACGGGAAACAAGTCTCAAAAGTACCACACACGAGAGCAGCGGCGACGAAAGGCTTAACGTTGTCGACCCATCTCTTGCTGGTGTGCGCTGCCTGCGACAAAGACTGGATTTCTTTTCGGTTTCCTTCCCTTCTGAGATGTCTCAGCGTTCCTTTTCAGACAGTCAGCAGCTCACACACAACGAAAATTTACCAGAATCGGTCCGATTCTGGTAAATTTACCAGAGTCGGAGCCATGTGGCATCGGCAGCATCGCAGCCGGTCCTTTCGAAAAGTGTGGGGTGCTGCGGAACTGCACGTAGTCCCGCGGTTACGGGGATACTCATAAATATAAATTTGGTACTCTCAACCTTGGTAGCGCGTTGTATATTACGTTTATATTATATATATAATAAATTGTACAAGACTGCGCCTCTAAAACGTGTATTAATGTCGGATAAACGCGCATGAACGAACACCACCGCGCCGCTTGTCAAGAAACAGTTTTTTCACGTCGATAGCGTATTCTCACGTAGTTGCGCCATGGACTTCCTTCCTCCGCCTTTGTGACGTAACCTCTCAGAGCGCTATGGCCTTGTATAGGGGTTAACTAGCCCAAATCCAAACCCTTCTGCTATGGCCTTGTCTTTTAGGCGGTGTTGCCAGTGGCGGCTGTTTCGGGGAGGGAAGGGGAAACACATGCCTCCCCCCCCTGACGTACGCCCATGCCGATTGCAGTAAACTTTTGCCAAGTGAGACGTATGCGCTTCACAAATCCTTACTACGCCTGCCATTCCCCCGCAACTAAGAACTAAAAAATGGGCGGTTAAAGAAAGAGATGCACTTTTTTCAGTTGAATTATTTTGCTTCACATGATATCGGTCATTAAACTTTTTTGCCGGGTATCGCATATTAACATAGAAGAACCGGGTATCGGATAATATTGTTGAATGAGGATCACGAATGACGTTTTAATCTAACACCGGCTACTTTAGACAACTAAACGAGTTGGTGTAACACGACCACTTCAAGATGGAGGGGTGGCACTCGGTGAGGGATCTTATCCAGCAGGGCGACTCCGTGATACGTATTTATTTATTTATTTACAGGGTACCTACATCGCCTCGAGGGCATTATTGTAGGAGGGGCAGGAAATAACACACATACATAAAGAACACAAAGTGATCACTTTTCCGCACAGATTAGATATACAGCCGAGAAAAAAATACACTGTTGTCCAAGGTGCTCACCACATCATTAGGCAGCAAGTTCCACTCTCTAATTGTCTTTACAAAAAAAGAATGACAGAAGCTGTTTGTTTTATAGGAATATTCAAAAACTTTTCTAGAGTTATCACACCTAGCTGAAACATACGTTGGCCCCAAAAAGATACTCATTCTTATTAATACCAGTATTATTATAATAAATGCGATGGAAAAACTTAAATCTTAATTTTTGCTTTCGAATACTCAAGGGCTCCCATCCCAGCATGGTTTTAACCTCTGTCATACTAGCGTACGGATCGTAGTTGTTACTAAGAAATCGCGCTGCTTGATTTTGAAGTTTCTCTAATCTATCGATCAGATACTGCTGGTAGGGATCCCATATAACGCACGCATAATCAAGCATTGACCTTACGTGCAAGAAGTAAAGAGTTTCTTTTACGTCTCGGGACGCGTGTTTGAAATTTCTACGCATAAAAACCAACATTTTACTGGCCTTATTAATTGTGTAGTCAATATGTTTATTCCATTTAAGTGATTGGTGAAAATAAATGCCAAGATATTTACATTCAGAGACATTACCGATTGTCAGGTTTTTGATAGTATAACTTGTAAAAAATTTAGAGACGTTTCTAGCAAAATTAACGAGGTTACATTTTCCAATATTTAGGCTCATGTTCCATTGGTTACACCAGTATGCTACCTTATCTGGATCGCTCCGTAGGATCTCGATGTCTCTCGTCGAATTTATTTCCCTGTAAATAACGCAATCATCAGCAAAAAGTTTTATTGTCGACTGAATATTTTGTACAATGTCGTTAACGTAAATTAAAAACAGTAACGGTCCAAGTACACTACCCTGGGGGACCCCTGAAGTCACGGAAACGACTGAGTATTTACTTCCATTTAAGACAACACATTGCTCACGGTCACTTAAGTAACTTCGTATACAATTTGTACCTTGCTATTAATATTTATAGAGGCTAGTTTTATCAGTGGAAGGTTGTGTGGTACCGTGTCGAAAGCTTTGCTGAAATCTAGAAAGACTGAGTCTACTTGCGTATTTTTGTCATTTGCTTTTAATAGGTAACGCTGGAACTCTGCTAACTGCGTGTTGCATGAAAATCCAGCCCGAAAGCCATGCTGGGATGGAGTAAAAAAGTTAAAGCTATCAAGATATTTGAACATTGCGCTATATAAAATATGCTCAAAAAGCTTAGAGCAAACTGACGTTAGTGATATAGGCCTATAATTTTCTACAAGTTTCTTATCTCCGGATTTAAAAACAGGAATCACATTCGCCGTTTTCCAATCTATTGGGACCAACCCTGTCTCAAGTATCGTTTTAAATATAATGGAAAAGTACTGTGATACGATCTCGGAACACTTAATGAGAATAACAGGTGATATACCATCAGGGCCAGTAGCCTTTGACTGATCTAGGCCGCGCAAAAGAGAGGAAATACCATGAACATCAATATCAATATCCGCCATCATGCCAGTAAAACAACTATTCGGTGACTCCACCACATACCCAGAGAGTTCCGGAGAAAATACCGATTTAAAGTAGGAATTGAAGCATTCTGCCTTGTCCACATTTTCCTTTAACATTTGGCCGTCAACATTAAGAACTGGGATAGAAATATCATATTTCCTGCATGTCTTCACATATTTCCAGAATACCTTTGGGTTTCGTTTAAGATCGAAGTTTAGCCTGGTAAAAAATGACTGCTTAGCTAACTTTATTGTTACTTTTAATTGATTATTAATATATTTTAACCCTTGCAAATTAAGGACAGAGTTATCTTTACAACGTTTTTTGTAAGCCCGCCTTGCTTTCCCCAGTAGTTTCCGTATTTCGGCATTAAACCAAGGTTTTTGTTTACGTCTTTGCCGCAAAGTTCTTGAAGGTACAAAAGCCTCAACTAATTCCAATATTTTATTGCGAAACAAAATCCAAATCTCCTCTGTTGTACAAGACTCAGATAAACATGAAAAAGTTAGAAAATATGTACGTAATGCATTATTGCTGGCGTCAAAATTACCCTTTTCATAGATGAGTACTCTGCGTGGCTCTTGTTTCTGTTCAGGTACGCCTGATACATTCAACTCGGTAACAACAACATTGTGATCACTTATTCCAGGATATACGTGGGCGCTAGAAACAATATTTGGGTCATTGCATAAGACTGGATCTAAAACTTCCGTCAGTCGAATCGGCTCCATGACATACTGAATCAGACCAAATGTATCTATCAATTCTGTGAACATAGAATAAACACGCGATTTGCTTCTTGCCGTCGTCCCAGTTAACCACGAAAAGTCTGGCAAATTAAAATCGCCTCCCAGAAAGACGGTGTCTGGTATCACTGATAACATATCTGAGAGTAAAGAAATGCTTGTTTCATTTCCGTCTGGCGGACGGTAAATAGTTCCAAACACCACAGTGTTCCCTTTGGGAAAACGAACGCGACACCACAACGACTCAGAGTCATTCTCAAATTTAACTGCACAGCTACTCCACCAAGATGAAACCAGCAAAAAGACTCCTCCTCCGTGTCGATGTGTGTCTTTACGATATACCGTAAATCCCGGCGGAAAAACCGCAGTGTCAGAGACCGTATCGTCCAACCAAGATTCGGTCCCCATAACAATCTGTGGATTCAAAGTCATTATTAAAGAAGCAAGCTCATCAACTTTATTCATGATGCTACGGCAGTTCACAACCAGAACCATAGGTTCTGGATGTGAACTGCCTGAAGGACGCATACCTGTCTGTCCCAATCTGCCGTCCGGACCGCCCCTGGTTCGGCTTTCGGGAGGGGGCCCGACAGGGTCTATAGTTGGAACGTGCTACCATTTGGCCTCAGATGGGCACCAAGAGTTTTCACAAAACTACTGAAACCAGTCGCGGCCTATCTCCGGTCCAAGGGACTTCGCATCGTCATGTTCTTGGATGATATCCTCGTCATGGACCAATCCCCCTCCCTACTGGCAAACCAGGGACGTACGTCTAATCGTGAACCTCCCACGAAACCCGGGTTTCGCCGTAATCTTGGAGAAGTCAGTACTGACACCAGCCCAGGACTTGTTGTTTCTGGGACTATTGATAGACTCGAGATGATTGACGCTCGAGCTCCCTGAGGAGAAACTCGCCAACCTGTTAGACCACCTACAGCAGAGGCTAGAGCAACCGGGGATCACGGCCCGCCAGGTTGCAAGCTTGGTGGGACAACTGGACGCATGCCTAATGGTGCTGCCGGAGGGTTCCTTTTATATCAGGATTTGAGACAGGCCCTACAGAGACGTACATACACGACCACTCTTACACTATCCAGGGACACGTAGCAGAACTTAGCGTGGTGGATCCGTGTACCGAGGACGACCCCAAAGGGCCAGATCAAGACACCCCCAGTAGTGCAGACGATACAGTCGGACAGCTCGTTAAAAGGGTGGGGAGCATGCTAGGAGTGGTGGACGATCGGGCATCACTGGACACCACTCCAATCCACTTGGCACATCAATCCCCTGGAGCTGATGACAGCCTTCCTGGCCCTTCAGGCACTGGCAAAGAATGTGTCTCGGGGCTCCATCCTCCTCGAGCTAGACAACACAGCAGCAGATAGCGGCCATCAACAGGAGGGGCAGGCCCTGCTCTCCACAGCTCACCAGGATAGCCCACGAGCTATGGTCGTGGTGTTGGGCGAGGGGAATATCAGTCACGGCGCAACACATTCCGGGGCACATGAGCACGAATGCGGACCAAGCATCCAGGGGAGTGATGGATGCCAGCAGTTGGAAACTGTGCCCGTTCACATTCAGCAGGGTCAACTGTCTGTGGGGCCCCGTGCACACGAACCTTCTTGCGGACTTCTCCAACCACCAGGTGAGGCACTACTACAGTTGGAAGCCGGATCCTCAGGCGGCAGCAATGGATGCTCTCAGCCAGGACTGGACGGGTCAGGGCCTCTATTCCTTCCCACCATTCAGCCTTGTGAGGAGATGAATTGCCAAGTTGCAGACCTCCAACGGTCCACTCATTCTAGTAGCTCCAGTCTGGCCATCTCAGCCATGGTACGCCTCGCTGATGCATCACTCGTACGAGGAACCGCGTCTTCTTCCCCAGTCACACGACCTACTGCGCAGCCACGACCAGCAGGTACATCAATGCTGAGCACGGGGAGCCGGACACTGGCAGCATGGACACTGACCAACTCCAGCAAACACATAGCCAAATTTCGGAGCAGACTGCACACCTCATTGAGGCATCATGGAGGCGGGGAACACAGCTCACCTACACCTCTTGCTGGCGCAGGTGGGAACGCTGGTGCCATTCAAGGACTGTTACCCCTTTCCTTGAATGGCACCAGCGTTCCCACAGTCCTTGAATGGCACCAGCGTTCCCACCTGCGCCAGCAAGAGGTGTAGGTGAGCTGTGTTCCCCGCCTCCATGATGCCTCAATGAGGTGTGCAGTCTGCTCCGAAATTTGGCTAGAGGCTTGCGAGGAAGTTGAGCACCTGTGTTAGAGAGCTCTCTAACACAGGTGCTCAACTTCCTCGCAAGCCTCTTTAAGGAGGGCCTGGCGTATCGCACTAAAGGATGTTACCGCTCTGCCTTGTCTCAGATCTTGCATAACTTTGACGGTTGCCCTCTAGGGAAACACCCATCAGTGGTGTTCGAAACGCGAGCCAAATATTCTATTTCGCTCGCCTGGAGCGCTGCTCAAAACTTGAGAGCTACGGGCCTATACCCTGTCTTTCTGGTGGGGGCCCCACCATCTCAACGCAGCCGCGAGCTGTGCTGTAACCACTAACTCGGAAAGATTTAGTCGGAAGGGGAGAATACTTCCCTAAGGAGGAGCACCTATGGCGCCACCTACTTTTTACTTTCAAAATAGCTTTGAAACGTTGACGTCAGTTCCGGTATAGAAGGAAAAAGCAGTTGTGAACTTGATAGTATGTGTTTCCATAGGCTTCGTATAATTCCCGCTCTAACTTCAAGTAAGTACCATTCGTTCGAACTGGTAATTTTACGTACCATAGCTCAAGCCCTGTTTCCTTAAAGGGCAACTCCGGCCAAAACTAAAAATGAAATAAATTACTGGCATCGCTGTAGTGACACAAAATAGCACCCCAGCCAAAATATTACGTCCGGGGGACGCCGCATTCTCAACTAATGCCGATAATAAAAATGCGACCCGCCGCGAGCCGCTGCTCCTTAGCGGGGGGCCAGCGGGTTGCCGATCGCTAAAGCAACATTGGGCCGTGACGTCAGTATCGTTCTCTTCTTTTTTCTCCTCCGGTCCGGGCGTTGCGTGGAGTGCGCTTCTTTGAGGCGCTACCACCGCTACTTCGGTTTGTGATTGGCGTGTTTAGCCGTTGCTTTTATCTGTAGCTCGTGTAGCTTCGGTACAGCCTTTTGTTGATTTGCTAGCGAGGCCTCCAAGACTCGTTTCAGCGAGCAACTCGGTGCGCCCAAGACTGCCCAGCTGTTCCTCGAAAGATGCCCAGTGCAACTTCTAGCGTTGTGGGCTGCTCACACAACCCGCTGCGCAACCCGGAGGTGCTTTTTCACAAGTTTCCAACGGACCGGAAATTGGAGGTGTGGGTGAACGCTGTTCGACGAGTGGACTTGGGACTTCGGATTTTACGCGCCCGAGGAAAGAAGAACGAAAAAACAGACGTGTAAAGCTCAGCACACGTGTGTTCGGGTGCCGCGGCCCACGCCGGAGAGCCCCAAAGCTTCGTGTCTGGGACTGACCCGCAGCACGAAAGCCAGAGGGCCCCCAGTACTGTACGTCACTGGCAGCGCGGCGTAGAGCAACGCCGCTCCATCCACGGAGCCCCGATGACAATTTAGGCCTAGCGACGAGTACGGAAGACCGTACGCACGGCGACAGCCGCCGAGTGCGGCACCGAACGAATTCACTCGTTTTCCAGTCGCTAGCCTCTGGGTATATACAAGCAACGAGTACGGCATAGCGTACGCACGGCGGCGGCGAGTTCACGGGTTTTCCAGTCGCTAGCTTTACGGTATACGCACTAACCCGTGCTACATATGCTGGATAACTACCACGTATACAGAATTAAAATAAAATCAGCTTACCTCCTATATTTAGACGGCTAGCGCAGCAGAGTTAGGTGCCGCTCAGCCTGCGTACTCGTTGAACGAGAACGATCCTGACGTCACGTTCACATTGCGGCTGATTTCAAGTGTGGCCGGGGCCCCGAGCGGCTAGTTTCGGTTTTGTTGGCCGCGCCCCAAACAAAACTTTGAGGCGCAATATCTTTAAAACTACGCACAATAACGAGAAAAAAAATTACACCTTGCAATTCAGGGACGCTGACTGCACTAAAAACTGTCATAATCCCAAAATCGAAAGTATGGACCGGAGTTGCCCTTTAAATAGTGCAACCAGCCTCTGCTGCGTTGCGCGAGGACAGCGCAGCAGAGGTTGGTTGCACTATTTCTCCAAGGGCGCGGTGCCTTCGGGGCCGAGATGAGCTCCGATTGCAAACCGAAACTCAAAAACCCGTTGAATTTGTGCGGTGTTTCAGAAAGCCGAAAAATGCTGCGCGTGCCTTCTATATTTCTGCAATTTGTTGATTCAGTGTTTTTCGATGATTCTGAGCAATTCGCTAATTGAAACCATGCCCTCATACACAATATTAAAAAGTTAATTACGCAAAACTAATTTACAATCCAATTATCCCGAACTTCAATAATTTTCCTAAATAGGCCTCTCGCCCAGAACCAAAACACAACAAGCCTTTTTTTGTTGCGACGCGTAGGTGGACAAATTCGATATTGCAAAAACTACGCGTCGCAAAAAAAAAAAAAAAGACTCGTATCGTTTTGGTCCTGTGCCAGAGGCCTATTTAGGAAAATTGTTAAAGTCCAAGATAATTAGATTGTTAATTATTTTTGCGCAATTAACTTTCTTAATGTTCTGTTTAAGGGCATGGATTTAATTAAAACATTGTTCAGCATTATCAAAAAACACTAAATCAACAAATCGCAGAACGATAGAATTCACGCGCAGCATTTTACGGCTCTCTGAAAAACCGCACAAATTCGACGGGTTTTTAAGCTTCGGTTTGCTATCGGAGCGAATCTCCGCCCCAACGGCACCGCGACTCGTAGAGAAATAGTGCAACAAACCTCTGCTGCGCTGTCATCAGGCGATGCAGCAGAGGCTGGTTGCACTATTTCTTCATGGGGCACGGTGCCGTCGGGGCCGAGATGCGCTCCGATAGCAAACCGAAACTTAAAAATCCGTCGAATTAGCGCGGTTTTTCAGTGAACTGCGGCGTTTTCAAGACAAAACCTGCAGTTTTCCACTCATGGTTGTCAAGGGAGCCGGTTGCAACCTTCTCGGACGGAACTGGTCTCCACACCTCGGCATAGACATTGCTGGAATTAACGATGTCTCAGACGATGCTCTTGTCTCCAGACTACTAGACAAGTACCAGTCTGTGTTCAATGAAGACATCACAGGACAGACTGGTCCTGTCGTACAACTAGAACTTGTCGACTGAGCAACTCCGAAATTCTTGAAAGTACGCTCGGTACCCTTTGCGCTACGATCAACTGTACAGACTGAACTGAATAGACTTCAGGAGCAAGGCATCATTGAACCGACTCAGCATTCCGACTGGGCAACGCCTTTGGT